GTGATAACGTCCTTAAATCCTACTCCTAGATCCAACTAGAGTATTTATTTATTTAAATATTTGTGTTTCACCCTTTGTTGTGAGACTTCAAGATGGTTTACTGATAAAACAATAAACAATTTAAAACAATTCTAAATTAAAACAATAAAAACCTTATAAAGATGACCAAACCATCTTAAACATGACAAAAAGAGAAAACGCTTTAAAAGATTTCAACAGTCAAAAGCCACGTGAGTCTAAATGATTTAATCAGAAGTGAAATCTGGACTTGGCACTGGAAAGAAATCAACATTGGTGCCGGTCAGATCTCCGAGGAGAGCGAATTCAACAACTGGGGTGCAACAGCTGAGAAAGCTTTCTCCTATGCCCTCCAACACCAGGGAATTTATCCATAGAATCAACTGGAATTGTCAAAATCTGAGTCCCTCAGTGTTTCTGCCATGCTTGTTAATCATTTATGTTTTACCTGCTTTTCTTTGTATTGCTGGATGCTGGGATGTGTCATACCTTTCGTATTGTTGGGTGGAAAGAATATTTATCTATTCTGGAGTTGGTTAAGGAACAGATGTAAAGGGGAGGTAATAGGTACCAGGATCTGTCAAAGTCAGTTTTGTGGGAATGCTTACTACAATAGATACAGTGGAGCTGTCTTGGGAAGAGGGATGTTTTGGTTTAGGGACAAATGTGGTTTAAGCATGCAAAAAGATGTGAAATGCTTTGTGCTTTTAATGTTCTGTATAACCATACAGTGTGGTGCAGTGGTTTGAGTGTTGAACTGTGATTCTGGAGGCCAGGGTTCAATTCCCAGCTTGTCCATGTAAACCCACTGGGTGACCTTGGGCAAGTCACGCTCTCTCAGCCTCAGGGGAAGGCAATGGCAAACCTCTTCTGGACAAATCTCACCAAGAAAACCCCATGATAGGTTTTAGGGTCACCATAAATTGCAAACAACTTGTAGGCACACAATAAAACAAACTAACAGAAATTGCTGTAGTTCTAACAACATTGCTATACAGTGGAGAGCTTTGGTTTCTGAGTAAAACTTCCTGTTTTGCACTGAAGTTTGGATTTCTGGGCTAAAGTCAGCCATTACATGACACGAATCAATTGGATTTACACAAGTAATGTGTTATTGTTCATATGTGTTTGGCTACAATGTCTTTCATCCCCAGTCTTCATGACAGCCAAATTGGAGGAAGGCCTAATTCCAAGATAAGACCATCTCCACTCTGAAATCTTTAAAACATTTATTATATAAATTTGTTGTTGTGTGCTACCAAGTCAATTTTTACTTATGGTGGCCCTAAGGAGAACCTATCTTGTCAAGTTTCTTCAGAGAGGTGTTGCCATTGCCATCCCCTGAGGGTGAGATAGTGTGACTTGCCCAAGGTCACTCAGTGGGTTTACATGGCTGAGCTTGGATTTGAACCCTGGCTCCAGTGATGTTGTCCAATGCTCAAACAGCTACACCGGGGGTTGGCAAATTTTTTTTGCCGGGGGCTGGGGGTGGAAATGAAGCTAGGGTTGGCGCGTGAACGCTTGTGCATGCGCACACATGCTTCCCCCGCATGCACGCATGCACACGATGCCCACCGTCGTGTGCATGCGCACACGTGTGGGAGGCACCATTTTGGAACGCCCAGTGGCGCCGGTGCCATGCAAATTCACATGCCACTGGCGCCGTTGGCCCTTCTGAAATGGCGGCCGCCACCATGCGCATGTGTGTGCGAGTGCGGGCGCATGTGGATGATGGTGGGCACCATTTTGGAAGGCCCAATGGCGCCGGCATCGTACGCGCATGACACTGGTGCCATTGGGCGTTCCAAAATGGCACCCGCCATCGTGCACATGCGTGTGCAAGCGCTGGCGCCATTTTGGCAGCGTGGCAGCAGCAACAGGACCAGCCACGGGCAGGTCCCAAGACCTCCGTGGGCAGCACCCATCCCACAGGCCATAGGTTGCCAACCCCTGCGCTACAACATGCTGTCTCTGTTTATTATATAATACTTTATTGAAAATAATTATTCTCATGTATAAAGTGGAATTGTAATAAATTACAAATTGCAAGGTTAGAAATGAGACTTGTTTGCAGGGCATGCACACTTTTTGCTAAAAGAGTGATCCATTGTGCATTATATTAATTTTGAATTCCTTGGACAGAAAATTTGGATTCCTCTCCATTGAACCATGGGAAGATGGAGGCATTTTCCAGAGTCATAATTTGCAAGAGTTGCAAATAAATTCATTTGCTGGTATGAATTTATTTGCTGGCATGAATTTGCAAAATTATTCATTTGCTGGCATGAATAATAAAGCCATAGCAAGAGACAACCAATGCTTCAGAATCTGTTTCTCCTCCAACTGGTCTGTTCTGTATCCGATGCTCATCTATGTCAAGATAAGCAACACTGATGAGGCCAGAAGCCCATTTTCTGCCCAGGAAACTTTCTGGGAGCTGTATGAACCACCGTCCTGCCAAACATGAAACAAAGCTCAACCAAAAGTAGCTAGAAGTTCATTTCTGCTCTGAATTTTTTTTAGTACTCCTATGGAGAACTCGCCATAGGAATTTTCTTAATTCCTATCGGGAG